TCCGCGAGCCGGGGAGCGCGCCGCTGGCTGAGGCAGCTGCCTAGCTCATCGCGCCGCGCGAGGGCTCGGCCCTGCCTGGGAGCCAGGCAGAGCAGAGAACTTCTTCCAGGGTCACTAGCGCCGGAGAGGACTGCGAGGAATTTCAGAGGACCAAACCAAGCAGGGGCACTGGCAATGGGGTTGCAAATGAAAATCAACATTAATAAGCAGAAAGAAACGCACACTGGAGGCAAAAATTTGAAGTAGTTATACACTTTACAGGATTCTCAACGAACAGGGCCAAAACGAGACCCGGCTTTTCATGAAGCATGCTGTTGGACTGTATGAAGGAAGTCGCTGGGGGCACAAATGCGAAGAGGTTAAAAATCAATACGCTTTCCTAATTGATTATAATAAACTTAGAAAGCATATTACACCTCGTGCCCTAGGGTTTATGCCAATCTCTAACTATCAGGCAGCAAAATAAAATATACTTTTGGGGGAGAGATTACGCAACACCAATCTTCTCTAAGGTCCTTGGATTTTCCTCAAGAAAATACTAGAACAGTCAAAGACCAGGATGAGCATGAACCAGTAATACAATTCCAAAGTTTCATGGCACAGCGTTTGTTTTCTGCAGCACCAATTCTCCAACCTTTCAGTTTTAATTCATACAAAGATTCATACGTGTTTATAGTAAACGGTATAATAAAGACAAACAAGGATATTGTTGAATTGCGGGTACAACTTGGAATAAAGGATGAGGATGACAGTAAAGTCTAATCCAAACGGTGGTGCAGATAAGCTCTAAAAACAAATGAGCAAACCAAATTCCCTTTCTGTCCCTCTTGCGAGTCACTGCCTCTCGTTACGATTGTAAAGCAGGTATAAACCTAATTAGCATTTGGATGTGAGACCACCCACGAACGAATCTGGTAGGCACGTCTCTTCCCTGTAGCAGAAAAGGATGCACCTAACGATTGTATATATGTGTTGGTTTTGGCTGAAATCTTCCTTTGAAAACTGCAATGAGGACTACCGCTGGCAGAACAGAGCAGAGTCTGCTTTAGCTCAGCAGAAAGGCACGTTATTTTTAAATCCCAGAGACTCTGATTCAATTTCACTGCTGGAACGGCCTCCTCAGAAATACAGCTAATTCATCTTACACTGTTTATGCTGATGATGCGTTTCATGTCTTATGAACTATCCACCTCTGGCTTTGCAATTCTCATATCGTTACACAGACTGTCCAAGATTACACTGTGCATTACATTAATTTTTAAAAGAGATATGTCCTTCGAGTGATATGTCTTTAAGAATAAAATTTTATACACACAAGCGTCAAGAAATTCAGAGTTAACATTCCCATAGCAAACTTAATTTTCTCCCTACAAAAACAGGCGATGACCACTGAAAACGTATTTATAAAGGCATTAAAGTCTGTTATGCTAGCAACTGTAAAGATGGCTCATTTGTACACATTTGGTATAACAATTTTAAATGCAAAGTATTCAGCCTTTGTTAATATGGCCAAAAAGTACAAGCAGGATTGGAGCAGTCTAAGGGAATTTTCACAAGTTTCTCACTGTCATTTTATTACATAAACCCTATCTAGCAGATGCCTGTCCAAGGGATTTAAAGTCTTTCAAGGCAGTTTTATTCATTACTATCTTCTGCACAGAAAACAAAGAGCTCTTTGCGGTCTTTGGACACCATGAATCTGTCCTGAACCTGAGGGTACAGGTACGAAAGAAAAAGCTTCACATCACTTTTCCAAACTACTACCTCTTCCTTACACGAGGAACTACCATAACTGAAAGATGTCTCGTTTTGGGGTTTGCCATGGCCTGCTGGAGCCAAAGCAATCCACAGCTGCCCACCTGGAGGACAGGCTCTGCTAGCAAAGCCCAAATGGGATTTTTCATATGTGAGAAAATGACTTGTTTTCTAGATTCTCAAGTTGAGAAGCGAGGAAGCTTTATTATTTTTGTTTTAAAATATCCTCAAAGCAATACCAGATTGTTCCCTGTAATATCTTTTCTGGTGCTTAGTGAACACCCCATGTGTCTGATTCACCACTAGATTAATTCCATCCTCATTTTCACAGGTACGAGCCGAATTGCATTGCTGCAGGCCCGTAGCGGAGCATCACTAGTACAACTTTTGAGTGCCCATCCAGGCGCACATGCACACAAGATTTACCATCTTGTAGGCACCAGTGCTTCCAAGGGATGTGCATAGAGATCAGCAAGCAAATAATATGCTTCCTACATGTATGTGGTTATGTATGTGAGTGCGTATGTGCGTGCAGGGTTATGCCCACACACATGCACCAGAATATATACCAAGACAGACATATACGTGCCCAGAAACATTGTCAGGTTTGTATACTTTTAAACTTTACAATAACTTAGAGTAAACTCCCCTTAGTAAATTTCTAAGCTGTAATATTTGTGACCTATACTCACTCTACATATAGAGAAAATATACATACGAGATATATACAGAGCAAGCTATCGCTCTTTTCAATATGGAAAGGTAATGTCTACTTTTTCATTGCTGGGAATGGTTTAAGAAATCAGAGGTCTAATTAACTAAAAGATCAGGTCTAATTAACTAAATCCTCATTTTCACTTCTTAAGTAGTGCTCCACCGTACTGCCTAACAAAAATTGCCGTCATCTAACAACTTTCTTACCAGCTACAGTAAATATTCTGCAGTTTTGTTACCAGTCAGCTCCCTAAAGAGTCATGGGATATGTTTAATCATTTTCATTTCTATATGCAGCTGCAGTGTTTTAGAAGAAGTTGCCAGTATTCATTTTACTTTATGGCATAACAAACAGATGCCTCTCTTTTCCAGACCCTCTTAACTTTATCTATACATGGAAGGCACTGGAATAGCACAGTGATAAAAAGCAGAACGAGTTGGCTTATTTAATATTTGACCTGGGAACAGTTTCTGTGATACTAGCAGCTGATTAAATAGAGCCACACTGACGAGGCAAGCCTTCATTCGGCTGCAGGCAGCCGACATTATTCATGAGCACAGGGATCCCATACAGGATCTGAGCAATACTCCATGCAGCACCTCTGTTCCTTGAGGATTAGATCCTCCAAAGAAAGACTCAAGAAATCTCATAGCAATTAAGTATTGAAAAACTTACAAAGCAAAATTTTCTATCCAGTTTCAAGCAGCTGGTAGTTGAGCTGCTTTCTGAAGAATGAGATTTTACATCTCTTGGGATGTTTAACCTACTTAATGTATTTGGGAACTTTTCGGTTATTCATCTCAGCACTTGGGCTTTTTTGTTTTTACCCATTTTGCTGAAATTTTTGACCACAAAGCACCTCCAAGGCCACTCCCTCAGTGAACAGGGAAGGTTTTTTCCTGGTCATGCCAATGCGGCTCCACCAGCTGCTTCCCCAGCGAGAGCCCTCCCGCCATGCCCTCGCAGGGCGCGCTGCCCACTGCCTCTGCAGGCACAGGGCTGCCGACACAGGCACACACGGCCATCGTGCCTCACAGGCTTCCTTGCAGCAACCCATCAGCCCCTCTGCTGCTTTTCTGAGGCCTCATTCCTCTGCACTGCACATTCCCCTCCCTCCCTTTGCACCGAATCAACTTAAGAATAAAAATCAATGAGACACAAAAGAGGAAACCATCTTGACCAAAAAGGTAGAAGAAAAGGGCTGTATTTCCAGAAAGAATCGCAAGGCAAAACAACTTCAAGCCCCATGGCCTAAATCCGGAGACCCGTTGGAGAAAGTGATATTCAGAAGGCAGAGCATAGCCTGACTGCTGCCTGGTCCTCCCCAGCTAAGCTATTCCTCTGAGATCTTAAGCATCATCCAGGAAAAGAGTGGAATCAACCATGTGCTAATTCTGCACTTACTGCTTTCTCACGTAATCACCTTATTTCCAACTTCATAACCTAGAAGAAAATGTTCCTCTTTGCTAGAATAAGCTTTCAGCTTGGCCAGGGTTCAGCGTGAATTCCAGTGAGTTTTGCATATTATTGTCCCAGAAGAAACGGATCTTTACAAAGTAGTGCACACAAGCTAACAACCAAAGCACCACTAAGCAAGCAGGGAAAAAAAGGGAACCTTAAAAGTGATGTTTCCTGCCATACTACAGGAGGCAGCTCCAGGCACCGGCACGGCTGGCTGCAAGGTCTCAGAGAGAAGCAGTCCCCAGTGAGCATAAAGCAGCACATTTTCAGTAAAGAGCAGGCATCAAGAGAGACCAGTCAGAACAGGAAATATCTCCAACTTGACACACAGCAAAGGAGGGTCTTTTCCTAGTATTTTTATCACCCTGATATTAATATTTCTCAGACTCCAAGGATCACTGCTCTTCTGGTTTGGAGTTGGCAAAACAGCTTGACCTTACAGCTTTGGCTACAGCAAGGAATTTGACTTAGGACTGTGGTCTGTTGTGGGGATTATCCTTAGTACAGTACCATGGGGAAAGTACACTGTTCACTTGAAAAAAACAGGCATTTAGAATAAATCTGTAAAGTATTTTACCTTACCCAAATACTTTTGCGTTTTCTCCTCCTCTGCCAGGGCAATTTTATGATCTTCACTTATAGTAAATGCCTTGATGTTATCTAGATACTTCTTTACCCACTTTCATCATCTTTCATAGCTTATAGGCATCACTCGTTTGGCACGTCCCCTCTGCAGTTTGAACAAATGCAAAAGCAAAAGCAAACAGAAGAACCTGGTCAGACAATGAACATCAATTTTTGATTCTACTTATAAATTTTATTTTTCCTTTTTGTTTTTGTAAGATGTTCACAAGTAGTAATATGATTAGCCTCCTTGTAGATCTGGTATGAATGGTTCTTTTCATTAAAATTAAAGTAATTAATGTTTTTAATGCCTATTAAGGTTTTGAATGTACAAAATGCTGTAGGCTACAAAGGACAAAAAATAAGGATACAGTTAAAAACATATATTATAAACAGTCCCTTAAACCCTAGTGTGGTATCCTTTTATCATCCCTTTATTCTGAGTTTAGTAGGTTATTAACCTATATCCCGGGGGAGAAAGGATGCACATCAATTATGTCAATTGAATAGACAAATGAAAATCAAATTAAAAATTTAACACACACAACTGTAATTACAATACAGTGCTTTTAACAGGAATTTCATCTGAGAAATGAAAAGTAGAAATGCTTCCTCAATTTTAACTGCAATTTACAGTAGCAGGAAAAAGTAGCTAGAGATATACAACCTAACTAAACAAAAATCCATACAGGAGATTTCAATGAAGTCTTTCTTCCTAGTCCTGAAACATTATTGTGACAGATCCATTGTAATTTAATCTACTAGTCCAGTATTTAACACTGTGAGGAGTGCTTAGAAAAAGAGAGATTTATTTGTATTACTTCTAGCCAAAGTCGAGCGTGAGCATGGTCAAGGCTGCAGCCAGGCGCTCGGGCAGGAGGCAGCGAGGCTTCCAAGGGCGCAGGACAGCAGGAACAGCCCAGGGTGCTGCGTCCTGCTCTGGCATCTGATACTGCCAGCACCTGTTTGCTACTCCTCTGCATTAGTATTCCCACCACAAAATGCAAATAAAATATTGTACCCACTCATCACATGACAATTTTGTCAAGAATGTCAACCCAATTTGCATTGACTTTCAAAACATGAAGTGTTACAAAGCCCTAAGCACCAATGCTGTAAGTATCTACAGTTTCCATGAGGGAGATTAGTATGCTCATTAATTTCACCTGCTATACAGCTGTTCTCAAGATCATCATTAAAACCTAAGTGAGCCAGGGAAACCTCTGCTTTGAGTACTTCTTAAATTGTGCGATTCTGTTCCTCTGCATTTCATGCCCTACGTCACCTCTGTCTCTAAGAGAAAAGAGTATTTGGATGCATAAGTCTTCTCTAAGTTTGCCTCCCACTGAGAATTTCTGGTTGCAATTTGAGAATAAGATACAAAAATATTCATTTTAATGTCATTTAGCTCATTTAAATAATTAAATGTATTTATATTATGTAAGTATGTGTATTAAGATTAGCATAGTTAGAAATTTAAATAAGCAATCATAACTTAAGTTATGTTTAGCTAACAAGTAAAGAGTGAAAACCCTTTCTGGTCAAATGCTTCTGCCTTTCATGCTCTTTACACATCTCAACCAGCACTAGCTTAACAAACCTTCCAGTTGCCAAAGCCTTGCTGCAAACAAACCCCAGGATGCATGAGGGGTCTGTAGCACTTTAGTAAACACTGAGTTGGATTGTCACCTTCTATTGCTGCAGATAAAAACAGATGTGAAAAACACAATGGCACAGCTAACTCATTTCAATATTCCTAAGGGGTGAAAGAGAATAGAGAGGAGACTGGGCAAAATAAAATAAAAGGCAGAGGACAGTCAGGTTCTTAAGATATCTACAGCGATACAAAAAAAAACCTGTATGTATGTATAAGCACATCTAAAATAGTATAAAAGCAGGCCTTCTTCCAAACTGCTCATGTCCTAAGAGTAACAGCTGGCAAACAAATCTAGTTTCAACAGCTGTTCCAAAATGATAAAAACGTTTTGAGGAAATAGAAAACGGAAACCTCTCCAGAAGTTCCACCAAAAAAAACTTCTCCAAGCTTCCCAAAGAGACTCAGAAGCAAAAAAAAAAAAAAAAAAAAAAAACCCACACACAGAGCAAAAATTATGTTGTTCCTACAAACACTACAAACACAGCTCAAGAACTCAAGAACTCACTTAATAGAGTGGAATACAAACTATTTAACCTCAACTCATGGTACAGA